ACATCACTGGAACAAAACCAGAACTCTGGCTACCATACAATATATGCAGTATTAAAACAAGGAGCCATCTGAATGAAAAAGGCATAACAGCACATGAAGAATTCTTGAACAAAACAGGTAAGTCATTTCAGAGTCATTTTGTGAAAACATACAGCCAATTTATTTTCAGATATTTGTGGCTATGCATAATTGAGCCAAAAGTAACAAGTGCTACCACATATATTACACAATGGTACATCTCCCAATCCTAAAGCTGTATGCTGTTCAAATTCAGGAGTTGTCACATCCTATGCTAACTTGTCGTAGCTTCTTTTTTCCTATGGACGTCAGGAGAAGGACCAAGCAACACTGATTCTTAGGCTAAGTGTCTCCTTGTTCCTGCAACATTACTCACCAGGGAATGATTGGTGCTGCTGGAGTATGGAGCTTCACTTCAGGCCTCTGGAGTTGATTTTCCTTATGGAAAAATTAAAATTCCATCAGCAGCCTCAAAATGCTCTGGAGATGCACAGCAAATACAAGTTGAGCAAGGTTTCAACTGATTGTTGTAATCTACATCTGTATTCTCACACATCCATTGATGTTTAGTCCACTTGTGTGGCACGGAGCTAGGATGTGATAAAAATAAAACAGCAACCATCTAGACTTAAACATTACCCTCTTAGTAGCAGTGATTAGAACAATTTTTCTTTCCCCTCCTTCCTCTTTCATCAATCTGCTTAACGTCTTCCACCCGGTCCCATAAGACAGAATGAACACATGTAGGAGAACCTTTCCTTACAACACATTAAGGAGCATCCTGAAGAAACCACCACCTGCTTTCCTCCTGCTGGCTGGGACTTGCTGCACCTTCACCTTTCTCCAGAGCAGTCAGTAACACAGATCTGTTCCCATCACTGTGGGACCTCAGCTCCCAAGAGAAACACGTACAAAATATTAACTGCTCAAACCTTTAGTGCGAGTGGGGTCACCAAGTATTTTGTCCGGCTCTAAAATCACAGAACACGTTTACTTCTGCAGATGCATACTTTCTTCATCCAGCAAACATTTCTGAACTAGCCCAAGGAATAGGTTACTATGATTAATTGACTTAAACACCTGTTCAAGTACCACTTAAACGGGAATAAACATACTTTTTTTTTGCCTTCTGCTTGTGTGGGGGAAATGTTTGAACAAACCAAAAAAGCCACTCAGTATTGAAAAAAGAACCTCCCCATAGGTTTAAAGGACAACCAGAAAAAACTTTCACCCTGCACGCAAGGCCACAGTCATTTCCTCAGCTTAGAGATGGGAATTTGGACCTCAAACAACCACAGCTCATGTTTGTGTAGGCACAAGCCATCTCTCGTGGCCTCATTTCGCTCCCACTGACGATGACAAACCCCTCCTTCACCAAAGGGGAAGTGGGGCTGCATTTATGGGCAACATTAAAGGTCACCAAGAAATTTAGAGCTCTCATTTGACCACCTGACCAAGCCTCCAGTCACAAAACAGCCTTGCCGACCAAGAACCATAACGCATTCTGCCATTTCAGGCCAGCTGGCCTGAAATACAAGCAGCACATTTTTGTAAAGGAAGCTAAACACATTTTTCTCCCTAAGATTCCTCCTGGATCTTACACTCTTTTCCTCTTAAAGGAAAAAGTAAACAGAAATCTATCAGTTGAGCACACATGAGTCATGCAGCAGTGTCACTGAGTGACATTGGTCATGTAAGGGACTCAATAAAACAGTTTTTCTCCGTTTCTTTTAGTTTTAGTATTTTACTCCTTTTAAACCAGGAACTGCTGATGAAATATGCTCTTGGTTGTTAGCAGCTGTAGCTCTTTTTGTATTGAAGATATTTCCATTGCCTTTGATAAATTATCTCCAAGGAATAATAATGTTGTCTACAGTACAAAAGGACTCTATGTAAGGATGCTCTGCAAAGTATGCATCACTACAAAAATCACCTGAATTTTTATTCCTAATACGAATATCTGGAGTTTCTGTTTCAGTCTACATTGTATCAAATTATTGTTTCAAGTCACATAATACACATTTCTGAACATCATTCATCATTAGTTTCTCCAGTAATATTTTCACCACAAGATTTGCTTTCCATATGGTTTGCCCTAGTTTGAGACAGACAATCATTTTGTCAGTACTCTTCTCTAGTAGGCAGGTCAGAATTTAACAGCAGAGCTAGAAAAGGAGGGAAGGAAACAGAAGGAATGAAGGAAATGTTAACAATGGAAGAAAAAAATAAAAGCAGATGCAGCTTGAGCTTTTTTAAATAATACACCTGCATTTTCATCATAGAATCACCTGAGTTGGAAAGAACTTTTAAAGACCAACTAGTCCAACTCTCCCACAATGAAAAGGTGCACCCACAGCTAGATCAGGTGCTCGGAGTCCAGTCCCGTCTGACCCTGAGTGTCTCCAAGCATGGGGAACCACCACCTCTCAGGACAACCTGCTTCGGTGCTTCATTACCCTTACTGTAAAATAACTTGTTCCTTATACACAGTCTAAATCTCTCTTTCAGTTTGAAGCCATTTCTCCTTGTCCTATCACAACAGACCCAGCTAAAGAGCCTGTCCCTTTCTTTCTTATGTCCTCCCCTGTTGATACTAAAAGGCTGCTATCAGGTCCACCAAGAATCTCTTGGTGGATCTCTCTCTCTCAGCCTGTCCTCACACAGGAGGTCTACCATCTTTAGGATCATTTTTGTGGCCCTCCTCCTGATACCCTTTAACAGGCCCACACTTCTCCTGTACTGAGGACTCCACATCTAGATGCAGTACTCCAGATATGGTCTCACCAGTGCAAAGTAGAGGGGCAGAATCACCATCCTTAACCAGCTGGCCACACTTCTTTTGATGCAGTCCAGGATATGTTTAGTTTTCTGGGCTGTGAGGTTATGTTGCGCTCATATCTAGCTTACCATCCACCAGTACCTGTAAGTCCTTTTCCTTAGGGCTGTCTCAATCTTTTCATCCCTTGTATTGATAGAGGGAGTTGCTGCAACCATATTTGCACTTTGATTTGTTGAATTTCATGACACTCACCTTGGGCCCACTGCTCAAGACTGTCTAGGTCTCTCTGGATGGCATCCCATCCCTCAGGCATGTTGGCTGCACCACACAGCACAATGTCATCCACAAACTAGCTGAGGGAGCATTCAATCCTACTGTCAGCGTCACTGATGAAAATATTAACAGCACTGGTCTCAGTACTGAGCCCATGAAGGACTCATCACTGATCTCAATCCAGACACTGAGCCATTAGTCATCACTTTCTGGGTGCAATTTTGCAACTAGTTTCATGTTCATTGAGCAGTCCAGCCACCAAATCCTTATCTTTCCAATTTGGAAAGGACATTGTGAGGGACAGTGTTCAAGACCTTAGTGAAGGTAGATGGTATCAGTGACTTTTTCCTTGACCACTGATGCAGTTATGCCATCACAGAAGGCCATTAGGTTAACCAGACAGGACTTGCCATTGGTGAAGCCATGCAAGTTTGCTGGCAGCATTCATTAATTTCTTTTCAGCTCTACTGATAACCACAGAACATGAAAAAAATTAAAGATGTCCAGACTCTGAATTTTACATAAAAGTAATGACAGCAAAAGTCAAAGAATACTGAGAAGACAAGGTGTCAGACAGCTCAGCAATTCTCTGCCAGCAAGATCAGCAGCCAACCTCGCCCAAATCCACAAGCTGCTGTGATACACAGGCTCCACACTGCTGAAAGACCCAGAGCCAGCCTCTACAAAAGCATCAGACACAACAACCTAATTGGCTCACCCTGCACCTCCATGAGCATTTAGCTCATGGAAAACACAAAGCACAGGGGTTTGAGATGAATGCTGGTTGGTACATCCAAGGCTTGTACCA